AATATAATCGCGTGATGTAGAGCTTTTGAAAGCTTCCTTATTTTTTTTGTCGTTGGGAAGTAGTAAAGGTTAAAAGTACAGCTCAGCATGTCAGATATATTTGAAGCGCGTGCGAGTTAAGTTCATAACATTTTTTTTCTTTCTTTGCAAATAATTTTTGCAAAGACATCAACGACCAAGGCTGCAATTGTGGTACAGTTTGGAAGTGTTCTTTTGGTACGCTAATAGAAACCAAAAACCTTCATAACAACTCGACCCACTAACCTAATTGTGATTCGGGGTGACCCTTAAAGAAAAGGTATTTATATGTGCTAGTGTTGAGACTTGGAACTAATTAAGGCTTCCACAGTTTCCGTGCCTGCTCAGTTGACTAGATTTAGACGTACTAGTCGGCACTACCAGAGGGGGAGATCGGACCAGACAAGGGCAACACCAAGAGCACGTGTCGCACTTAGCAACCCAGCAGAACCAATTTTGTTGCTATTTTACTTATCAGCCGCTGTCTTGCGAAGAACAACATCTGGCATAGCCTCGGAAAACGGCGTCAAGCGGGTGAAACGCTTACTATTTATGCAGCACCATCGGGACCGCATGCACTAAGCATATAGTGTAACCTGCAGAGAGTAACAAAGGAGCCGAGTCTGTATTACTTTTGGTGTACCCCTTTCGCTTGCTTAGCAGCATTGCCATATAATTCCATTAATTGTTTAACGTTGCCAAGATGGACGGCTAATAGATCCTTAGTTTTAATTTTTATTACCTTTAATTTTTTTTTCTTTCTTTTACTAATTTCTTTAAAACAAAATGTGCAATGAATATGCCTAAATAAGTTAAAGCGAGAGGAAATTCCTACACCACCGACCTTGACCGTTGCTCATATATATATATATATATATATATATATATATACATGTGTTTATATACTTATAACTTTCTTTTGTAATATTTAGCAACAGCGATCATAATCGTCGTATACATTGGGCCCAACGTCTGCTTCGAAGGATATCGCGTGAGTAAGAGTTTAAACCAATGCCTATAGATATATGTAATTATATACACACATGAACATTTAAATGCAGTTAATTTAGCAAGACGGTAAATTAATTACTATCCGTCAAGTCTCAAGATAATGTTGGTGAATTTCTCCTTCCCCTTAATTTCTTTATGGGATTTAAACTAGTTATTGCACATTCATCATATTAACTTTGGATTCAAATTTTGTTTGGAAACTGTATATTTTTTTTGTAAATAGAGTTATACTCACCTTGCTATTAATTGGCAACAAAATTGAACAATGCGTGAATAAACGAATTATATTAGCTTATATGATATGATATCCTAATTCCATAATTAATTGTTTTATCTGTCAAGTACCCATGTTAGCCGCTTGCAATTTATAGTGATGGTTTAAGAACCTGAAATAGGGACAAGCATCCACATTCCATTTTTTTTTTGCTTGTCAAGGTAGGGAGGGTAAAGAGAAAGAGAGACGATCAACACCTTAGTTCTCTCACTTACGCGAAATTGAATAGTTTGAATTTGGGTGTTCGGTCGGGACACATTAATGGTACCCATACTAGAATCCGGTTTTTTTTTTTGTTTCAATGGATTTACTTAAATCAATAAGTTTTTTTTTTTTTTATTTTTTTTTGATCGCACTTAAACTATGTGTTTATGGTAAGTGCAAAAGGGAAAGGAAAAAACCCCGACCAGTCCGACGAGCTATTGTCCGAGTATTAGCAAGAAGTGCGAACCTCCAATCCCTATGCACCCGGTTAGGCAACAGCCACGGCCGTTTGTTTTTATTTTTGGTAGATGGCCAAACGAAAGGCAAAAACTGAACCCGAACCATCCCCACCATTACAAAATGCAGTCTTGATTAACTTCGGTGTTTATAGTCCGATCTATATGATATTTTGAGGAATTAAATTTGGTATACAAATGAGTTTATATACCAAAGCGCAAAGCTCTACCTTTAAATGTGAGCTTTCTTTCTCAATTTAAGGGGAAAAAAGGTAACGTATTCAAAAAGTGAATAATTTTTCATATGTAAATACTTTACGGAACTTTGGCATATGTAGCTCTAAATCGGACTAAATTTGCAAAAACTCCATGACGATTTTTACAGGGTAATTATTTAACAACCTTATTATAATATTGTCGCTAGGAACCTTGCTCGATTTTCCTTTTACATTGTGGGCGTTTAATCGCATCTATTAGCAAAATAGACAAGCATTTCCTTAGCCCGCCCCCGTTAATAGCGCATTTCAAGTGAAATTCTTTTGAAACGAAAACAAAATATTTTTCCACACCCACACATCTATAGTTAGTCAGTCAGTCAGCCTGCCAGGCAGCCAGCCCTAACAAAGGTTGGAAACGAAATGCCAACTGGCTTGAATCAACAAGTTAAAATGCCACCACAGCATTTACTTCTGCTGTTATCCTTAATGTTTGGGCCCCGTTTGGCTTGTTTCTCCTCTCTTAACAGCCAGTTGCCAGAATGCCTCGTCTTTTGTCCCTTCATGCGATTATTATGATATGATAAGATGTTGTTGCTTTTGCTGCTGCTGCTGTGTTTTTTGTTGCTGTTATTACTCATGAGGCAAACCCGCTGCCTGGGCGCCTAATATCTCATTCTCGTCAAATTCTGATTGATGCTCAACTTTGACCTTTAAATGTCAAATGGGATGTGGGACCATTTTCTCATTTTTTGGTTCTCTATTTTTTCTTTTGGGGGGAATTGCCTGCAACTCTAATTGCTCCTACAAATTGTTGTTGTTGCCATTGCCGTTGGCGTTGCTATAGTTGTTGCTGTTGCTCTTGGTTTAGTTGTGGGCGGCAACATTTAGCATATTCCTGACTTTGAAAAGCACATTTAAAGCGTTTGCAGTTCGCGGAATTCGTCTGGCCAAAGTGGCAACTACTAAATGTCAAAATATTCGTTAGCAGCTTTCATTCACAGACATATTCTCAGGATGTTTTTGTCAATTAGGGATGTGTTTCAAGGTGGGTGGAAGAAGATTATCTTCAAAATCACAAGTAGTTTGTTTTGAGTGAAATATATAAAAAATATACAAATAAATAAATCCTATTTTCAATTTGTACACGTCCAGGAAATTGAATAAATAATTTCCTTTTATTATTGTTCATTTTCATATTCATTTTTCGTAATACGATAGTCTATGATCCATTTGAATAAATATACCTCCGAGCATAATTTGTTTTATAGAAAAGCAGCACTTTCAGATAATATTCCCTTCCATTAGAAGCGAACAATATCCATTGTCGCGCGCACACTGTCTGATGATGCCGACCTGTTGCTGATTTGCGTATACTTAATATCAAATATTAGTCATACGCACTGTGAACGCATAAAAACCTATGTATACGTCATTCTATGGTTTAATTGCCAATTATCAGTAGTTGTTTCAAGTAGCTAGAAAAGTGAAAGCAATTGCTAATAGATAAGCATCATATGACGTTATACGCGCGGTTTATTTGTAATATGTTTGGCCAAACTGTTGCGTAGCTAGGGGAATCGCACTGAGAAGGAGAGAAAGAGAGAGAGAGAGAGAGAGAGAGAGAGAGAGAGAGAGAAAGAGAGCGCATTAATTAGCTGTTAGTTCGATGCGTTGACAAAATGTTGGGCCACTTTTCATTCTCATCCACACTCTCTCCATCTCACTCACTCCATCTCACTCTCTCCTGCTCTCTCACCTTCTATCTTAATGTTTTCTCTTTTTCTTTCATTCGTTTGCGCGCTCGCTCTCTTTCTCTCTCTCTCTCTCTCTCTTTGAAACCCACACGCTTGCTGCTTAGACAGGAGCTGATGCCAGCGATGGGCGCCTATTCCCAGCAACATATCGGGAATGCCGGTTTTTCACTCTCATTTCAAACTTTTCCACCCACATATAGAGCACAACATGCGAGAGGTGCTCGAATTATCATTGAGCATTAAGGCAAAATATAATGAAACAACAATTACATTAATACACATTTTCTCTTGTTTTGTCGTTGCTCTTGTCGAACAACAACAGCAAACAATTTTCGAGCATTTCGTTTCGTTTCCGATGTTGACGCCGACGCAGCCGATTTGCCGCTTCTGCTGGTGCTGCCGCTGTTGATACGATTTTTCACCGTTGGCGAGTTTTCCATTTTCATTTTCAATTTTCTCTGCTTGCGCGCCAGTAGCGCATTGACGGCTCTGCAGCTCGTCTCGGCTGCTTTCGATTTCACTTTGCCACCCGCGACGCCGTCAATCATTCAAAATTAAAAAACACTTTTTTCACACTCAAAAAAAGAAACAAAATAAAAAATTTCTACAATACTTTAAAGAAAATTAAGACATAAATTTAGCATATCGAAAAATTAAAATATATATTTTGAAATATATTTTTGGTGCCAAAAAAACTTTTTATGTGCGAATATTAGCAAAAAAAAAAAAGAGCAGATTATTACCGTCGGCATTTCTACAAATTGTGCGACAATTTTCAAAATAGAAAAAAACACAAATATTTACTGAAAAATATTAAAGTTAGTTTTTTAATTGGTCAATTTATTAGTGAATAACACAATTTATTGAAAATAAAATATATTCAGAGAATTTATTAAAAGTCCATGAACATTTTTCGAATTTAGGATTTAGAATGAAAATGATCTTGCAAGCTTAAATAAACATGACGAAAAGGTAATTATTGAGGATGAGATAGATAAAATGCAGTACTAGTCCCATATGGAATGTAAAAGATCTGAGCAAGAGGTTATTATATCAAATTATTTCTTTAAACCTAAAAATAAAACTAAGGATTATAAAGCTATACAAATTTTCCTTCTCCATCTTTCAGGTCAATCAATCAATCATTCAGTGAATTAACATAATATCAAGAACAGCCCATATTTAAAGACTGATTTGTTGACATAGCCCTCAATCAGGTGCAAGTCGACTTAATAAATTTAAAACTTTTATGAAACCCCAATCAAAACATGCTTAGCAGAAAGTGCTCAAATCTCTAAACACAAAAAAAAACAACACAACAGGTGTCTCAACCAAACAAATGGAGTCAACTCCTTTGATGCATTTAAGTTTTTCATTTTCGTTCGGTTTCGGTTTCGGTTCCTTTTTCGTTTTAATTTCAATATTTTGGTTCTGCTTATCGCTCGTCAACAACGCGTCCAGTCACAAAAATGTTGCTGACAATGAGGCGACAGAATGAAGTGATAAGCAGCCAGCAGCATTCCACAGCAGTGACGACCACAAGCACAGCCACGCCCTCGCCGCCAGCAGCAGCAGCAGCGCCAACAGCTACACAGCCTGCATCGGGTTTGGAACTAGTGCCGACTACTCCGACCACTCCACAGGATTCGCTTAATACGCCAACAACCCCGCTGAGCCGCAATCCATTGCAATTTGCCGCACCGCCCGTACCACCACCCATTGCAGTGCCCGGCGTAACCGCAGCAGCTCCTGCTTTTGGCTACTACAATAGCAACAACGTTGGAGTAGCCGCTGCGCCGGCAACAGCCAGCTACCTGCATCAGCCGTCCACTGCTGACAAGGATTCAGCCGCCCATTCCGTGGAACTCGACGAGTACGTGGATATTTTGCAGGTGCAACAGTTGCTATTGGACTCATCAGCGGCTGCCGCAGCGGCCGCAAACCAAAACGTTTCTAATACCTATCAGGAACAACAACAACAACATCAGCAGCAGCAACAGCAGCAGCAGCAACTGCAGTCACTCGCCAAGCCGCGACCGCGCATCAATCTACAGAAGGCATCGGATTATGCCGCCCAATTAGCGCAGGGTAAGTCCAGCCAACTCAGCGGTTAGTTGTGGTGCCATACTGATCTCTGCGCTCTTCTCACAGCAGCTGAGACATCCTCGACTGCCTCGCGTCGCGTTCTGCTCGACTATCCGAATCCCTATTTGTACGGCAACCATTATCATCACACGCCGCCAAGCGAGGACCTCGTGGCCCTTTGGTTTGGCAGCAATGGAGCAGGTGAGTCATCCAATCCAATATTATAAAGCAGGCGCCCATCACCCAAGCATTGCTCAACAAATGCTCAGTTCAAATGAATAATTACCTCCAGTCGAGTGTGAATAGTTGTCATAGACATTGTAATATACTCTAACAATTGCAAAAACTGACTCGAGATAGAGAAAGATTACTGTTAACAAGTAAATACACCCAAGTTGCGCTTCGAAAGCAGCGAAGAACTAGATAAGCAAAGAAAATATAATTATTTATGGCAGACAACATATTAGATTGCTTTCAGTCAGTGGGAAAATACAGTTATTGAATACATATCTAGGTCCTATAATAAATTTGTTACCAGAAAATTGTATATATTAGCATACTTTACGGAAACTAACTAGCTTTGCCCAATCTTCGCGGTTATATTTTACGGAGTATAGTTGAGATATAAAAAAACCTTTGAGATTATATTATACATAAAAAAAAAAAGCATCCGAATTTATTGTTAAGTATTGACCAAAGAAAAATTAATTCTGAAAAAAATGCCTTGCTACAAGCTTCTACTTTTGAATTTATTCAATATAACTCAATATAAACTCTGCCAAAATCTTGCCAGTTAACAAATTCTGGAATCCTATATTGGTTTAGGTTAGGACAGCAGAATTCCCTGCGTGAGAGCTCGTATACAACTTTGGGTTCTTGGTTAAAACTTAGCGTTCATTTGCATTGAGGAATAAATTCTATTATCAAATATTTTGTAGAATTGTTCGTTAAGCACAAATCGAAAAATATTGTCAGCAGTATTTTAGATATTTGTGAACTTATTCAGATTGTCGGCAATTTATTGCAGTTTCTTTAGAGAATTCGTAAACATTTTAAAGAAGTGCTTACTGATTTCATTTTACACATTCAACATACATTGTTCAGAGATTAAACGCAAAATCAATCGAACTCCGTTTATATAGAGTGTATTCATAAACAAACTCCGTTGGCTGTCTCTCTCCCTCTCTCTCTCTCTCTCTGTCGCTCTCTCTGTGTGTCTTGCAGTATTGCACTTTATTGGCGCCCCGTATATTTGGCTGTCTCATTGCATAATTCTCTGGCGACAAGCGATGTCGCTGCGGCTGTAGCCGGTCTGCATATCCCCTGTCCATTGGTGCAGTTACTCAAAACTATCAAAGCGGCTATAAATTGCCAAAATTAATCTATGAATGAGCTGACAGGCAGAGTTGTGCGAATACTATATATAGCCCCCGAGCACTCCTCGTCGCCTCTCTAGATCTGTGTGTCTACGTGTGTAATAGCTCAATAAATATACATTTTTGCGCACATTAATGCCGTTCGCTTGTAATTTTTGACGGCGCCTTCAATGGATCGCCTCCGGCGCCCGACGCGTTCGCTTCTCATAGAGTCGACGACTCTTTTGAAACTTTGCCAAAAACTTGAAATTGAATTTACAAATGATGCAGCGCATCGGCCCCCAGTGCCCTTTCGTTTTTCTTTTTTTCATTTGTATCTTCTGTACATTTTAATTTTTCGCCATGGCAATGGGCAACAGGTGTTGGCCCAGGTCTGTTCATAGCCCGATCCGCGATCTTGTTCGCCCGCTCGCTCTCTGAGCCAATTGCAATGCAAGCGACGTTTTCGTTGCCTTCGCCGTCGCTGCCGTCACACGTTCCATCGATTACTCGTCTGTCGCTGCCGCATTTGGGTTTGGTCGCCTTTGCGGTTTGCCAAAATTAAGTCAGCGCCAAGACCACCCAAAGTGTGTCAATGTTGGCTCTTTATCGTGGAAAGATCGAACCGGAATGTGCATACAATATGATCTTCACTAACATAGTGCTGTTTATAGACAGCGCGATATACTATGCAATAGTTTATGTCCCTAGTTTGTAATTTATTTGCAAATATTAAATTTATATTTACCGTCTAATATTCCCCCAGATTGTCTTCTGGTTCGTTTCTTTCTCTTTAAGGGTTATCACATTTTAAGAACCCAAAGCAACTTTATTAAAAGCCTGAGATAAGATATTGTTTCAAATTCTTTAAGTCTGATACGAATATCAAAAATTTAAATTTTGCGAAGGCGACGCGCATATCGGATCAATCACTTCTTACATTTGGTGTACATAGACTATAGCATAATAATAATCCGACCTAGCATCTAAACATTTCAAAATTCATAAAATATATCTATAAATAAAACTGTTTGTCCACACAGCCTACGTCAGAGCTAGGAATCTGATATTTTAACTGTACTTACATTTTGTGATGAATGTGTCCGTTATGACTGGCTTTCGGGAAATTCCACCCGCATGTGTGGAAAAATCGCGAAAAACGTTTGTATGAAACTTTTTTGTTAAAATTTTTTTTAGTGGTATAACACTTATCAGACAATCCATTGCCCTTGGTGGAAAGGACGTTCAAAGATTTAGTGAGTTTTTTTTTGTTCCAAAGATCTACAAGAAAAATCATTTGAAACGTTTTGTCCAATTTACTTGAAACTTATTTTCAAAGCTCTACATAAGAACTTAATGAAAACAAGTTTCACCAATTTGTAGTAGATTATCGGGAAACAGTTGTATGAAAGTATTTTGTTTACCATCCGATTGGCCTTAAAAAACATTTTCAAATATCTTTGGCATCATTTGGCCTTATATGGAATTGCAATTTAAACACGTAGAATATTATGCATAGAAACCTTGAGCTCTGCACATTTATTTCACGACAAGGTTATTTAATTGGCTCATTTTGAAACCGTTGCGACTGATTCTGATTCGGATTATGGTTTCAATATTGTTCACCCCCTTTGACTGATCAAGCGACAGGCAGACAAGTTGCTGTCAAGTAGTCGTATTTCCAAGATGCACACAAATTGCCTTAATTAATTAATATCATAAATACGCGACGGCGCTTAATTGTCGAATCGAGCAGCAAAAGCGGCGTCGAGGGGCATAGCACAAATACAAAAAATCAGCTTCTGTCTCATGGCAAAGCTAATTAGCCAGGAAATGACCCCGGCTGACCGATCAGCAAGAGCAACAGCAGCAATTGCAGCCACAGTAGTCACACAGCTGAGTGACCCTAATCGACAGGAAGCTGACTCAATCTGAGCAACAGGCAGACAGGCCATGGCCACAGTGGATGCTGTCACTGCTGCCACATTCTGTTGCACTTCAGTTGCAATCAATATTCATAAATCTTTCTCTATCTCTCTCATGCGCTGTGCCAAAAGGTTTACCAATTAATAACGTGACCCGTTTTATATATACATATATATATATACAACATATATATAAGTGTATATATTTATATGAAAATCAAGCTGGGTGATCGTTTCCAATGAAAAATCACACACAAAGCCTTTCAGCGTTTGTCAACGACGTTGACACCACAGCAGCAACAGCAACAGCAACTGGCAACTGGCAGCCACACGAAGCAACAGCTAAGAAAACTGCAAAAGAAAACGCGACTGCTCTAGACGAGTGTCAACGACTAGGAGATACCCTATGTCCAGTTACCAATATTCCATTTACAGAGACTTGCGCTGAAATCTTGCTCTATGGGCAGCTTTTTCCATTACCAAAATTCAGAATTTGTATAATTCTTGCTTTTAACATTTCAAGGATACGCTCACATACGAGTCTCGAAAACCAATATTTATCGATTTATATTGAACAAATGAAAAATGCAAATTGTATTAAACCGCTCTTTGACGATTTAATGGGCACAGGGTATAATTAAAGCGACAATCGACGCTGGGGCAACCTTTGCGCCTTGTGCAACGGAAATCGCTGACATGGACCACACCACAACAGCAGGCACAGGCAACTCCCTCCCTACCTCACTCCCTCCCTCCACAGGCAGTGAGGCTTGCCTAATGTTTAATTAAGGTGATTGCTGTGCGGTCACTTGGACGTTGTTGTTGTTGTTGTTGTGGTTGGTGTTGTCGTCGTTGCAGTTGCGACTGTTGCTGCTGTTGTTTGCTGACAACAACACCTCACGAATGATCACCAAATTGGTTTGTAAGGATCTAAGCGTGCTGCTTCGCTCGCCATGTCAAACACTTTGGGCCAAAGGACATGCTGCCCCACCCCGCTGCCGAATCAGCCGCCTCTGATTGCCAGACGGACCACAGCTTTAATGAAGATTAATTGCAATCAGTGCGCCAGTTGAGCGGCGATTAATTGCAGAGCAAGAGAGAGACGACTTGGCAAATGGAAATGAGCTAAGGAAACTGCAGACTTCCTTCTTCTAGTCCATGCAAACGTGGACTGGCTGATGATGTGAATTGGACATGCCTTTGCCTTTGGCCGTGTGGCTTTGGCTGTGACTGTGGCTGTGGCTGTTTCTGTGACTGCGGCTTTGGCTGTGGTTCACAAGTTCACGAGACCTCACGAGACGCAGTTGCGGGCAACTTAATTGCCATTTACATGGCAAATGTTGAATGGCGTTTGCTGCCGGCTCAAAGCTTTGTTGGTGGCACAATGCGGCTCTGATGTATTGCAGTTGAATGTTGTTGAGCGACAGACCTGCCAAACTGCAAAGATTTGTCACAGTTCATCAAAGGCAGACCCACCGGTAACACCATCATCAGGCATAATGAACCTGAAAAGCTCATAAATTTGACCCGCAATACGGATTGGATCAAAGTTTATTTGCATAGTTTGTATGTGGGCTGGAAAAGTGTGCCACGAATGGATTTAATGGACACGTTTTATATATATTTTTTTCTCAATATTTTTTAATATATTTGTATACCCTGTACTCATTCAATGGAAAACAAAGGGTATATTTAAGTTGCGCTTGGGAACATCTCGGAGGGAATCGAATGCATGGTAAAATTTTTTTTTCGATAACTTTTCCCATTTTCACAAAATTTATCAAATTTGATTTATGCCCCCTTTCAGGTGCATTTCTTGAAGATAATAAGAGCTCGGCTGCCTTCCAATTGCAGAAAATATAAATTAATATAAGTGCTTTTAGGTATACACCAATTTGAAGTCATCCTCGTACTCAAATAT